GAGATTTAAACAGACTTAACACCTTTCTGATTAGAACAGCCCTCACTTACTCTTCCTGTCAAGACGTCAGGAGGGCAAGCTGAAAGTGCACCTTAACAGTTAGCAAACATAGAGTTGAGAACATGAATTTTTGTTTGTTGGGGTTTTTTTGTTAAACTGTGATTTTAATGCTTATCCTGAAGTAATTCTAGAATTTTATTTTCTGTATTCCCAAGTACTAGATGCTTACAAAAGTCAAAGTTGACTTTGCTTCATGTTCAGTCTGTAGCATTTTATCATCACTGATTTTTTTTTTTCCACAGGGATATAGCTTTCCTATTAGTCCAGGGTAAAAGACACCCATTTTTGAATTTATTTTTAGTAGTGAAGAAAAAACATAGGGAGCCCACTCTGTGCCCTCAGATGATACAGCTGGGGGACACATGGTTTGTCTGTATGGGATTATCTTCTGTGCTGTAGCTGAAGGAGTCAAAGGGTATGTAGATACTGCCTTTAACTGCTCATGTCTCTGATGTTAACATTTGTTTAAAAAAGGTTAATTGCATGCAATTATGTGCTAAAGGAGCTGCATCCCAAGAAAAGTCAATAGTACTAGGAAACTGTAACTTTGAATTAATGATAGAGCCGAGCAGTTATGCCCAAGCATTTTATTTAAGAAGGCAGCATGGTTGTGTTTTTTTTTTTTAGTATAAACTGCTACAGTGTGATGTTTTGTGTGGGTTTTTGTAATTTTTTTTTTCTTTTTCATAACTGTGTGAAAATGCATATTTAACACTTCACACTGAATTCTTAAAGTGACTGAATAAAGAAGCAAATATTCTGATGTTTTAAATTTAAAACACTGTTCATTAGTGTTGCATATTTAAAAACAATATTGCTCTGTCTATTAGATGTATTACTTGAAGGTAAAAGGCACAGTTGTGCTTGTTTAGCATTAGAACCTCGGAGTTTAAATAGCTTCTATTTATTTTGTAATCTGTTTATGATAAGAATCAATTGCTGCTTTATGGTACTGGTGACTGAAAATTTATTTGGGTAAGTGGAAACTATGTCCAACTTGCTGGAATCTCTCCTTTTTTTCCCTCTGCTTTCCAGCCCAGCAACCTGAGAGTTCATAAAACTCTTCAGTCAACATTCAGCTTTTATCCAATTTGTGTAAATAGTCTAGTTAATATCCATCTCCAAACTGCTGAGAAATAGTGTTGTTTTTCCTTCCTAAGCTAGCTAAACCTTTAAAGGTTTCATGTGGAAACTATGAGTTTTCTATGTAAAAAAAATATATATATATATAAAGTTCAATAAAACATAAGTAGTCTGGTATTGAAGAGCCTTTAGGTCCTTATCTGAATGTAATCATGGCCCTCCTGGCTCCATACTTATTTTAGATGGATGCAGTATGATTCTAAAGTACCCTGATGAGGAAAAAAAAGGCAAGTCCAGACAACAAAAAATACACACCTAAATCCAAACCAAATAAACCCCTCAACACCCCAAAAACCAAAAGAGATGGAAAAGAGTAAGAAAAACTCCAGTTGGCCTAAACCTCTGAAGATTTTTTTGTTGCCCAGTGCCTGGTGTTATGCTTCTTGACAGCTCTACCAAAGTCTTGGTAGACTAGACTGATATCACATGAATTTTATACTTTCAGTCCCATTAGGATTAAGGATTTGGCTCGCTCCTGATAAATGTCAATATAAAGCAGCAGAGAATCAAGCCAGCTGAGCTGGTCATGACCTTATATGCATAGTGATAATTAATAGCTAATGAGACTTATAAAATATGGTTCTGAAATGCAGTAGACTGTATCATCTGGACTGTTTAGAAATTAAAATTTTAAATTGCACTAGGAATTAAAGACATATTTTGCCATCATGGGCAAAAAGTTAAACTTCACTAAAGGATGTGTGTCAGATATGTCACTGAAATATGTCATCTTCAATACAGTTATGCATCAGAATAAGAATTATTCATGAATTTGAGTTCAAAAAGCAGGAAAACATAGGTTAGACTAATATAATACCTGGTTTTAATCTGTACTTAAATAAGGGCAGCTGTTTCAACTTTTATGGAGAGGCCTTTCTTGTTACTTTTCTCCTGACATATTTTCTTCCACTTAAATAGAAGTAAGCTGGATGTGTGATTCTCCTGGGCCTGTTCTGCTGCACTAGAGTCTGTACTCAGGAGTAAATACAAAACTGTACAAAGCTATATCAATATACACACACAGAACTATATGAAGGAAGACAAGTCAAACCCAATTATTACAAAATATTCTTGGGTTGCTTTAGTATGAAGGTTTTCTTCCATACACCTCTCAATTATTCCCCCTATTTCTATATCTGTGCTTATCTCTGAGGTCAGTCAGTCAAGGAGAGTTCTTCACACAATGAACTTTGTTCACTTGTGTTAATTGGAAAGAGCCTTGACTCAGATCTGCTCACATTGATCAGGCAATTTGTTCCACATAACTCAAAAATGCAGTCTTTGACTCGTTACTGAATGTTGCCTCACTTTTGTAGGTTGCATAGTCAATGAGCTACAAAGAGCAGCCATCCTCCCTCTGAAGAGAAAGCAGACATTTCATGTCTGTGAGGCAGACAGTGAAGTTGAGATTTAGTAATTTTTTTTTAAATTCATCAGGCATGACTTTCTGAACTTTCCCTGTTTCTGGCATTTCTAAAAGGGAAGGTGAAAAGAAGCTGGAATTCTTCTTTTCATCATCATTAATGGGAAGCCTAGACATCTCAAAATTTTGAAGTCCCAGACACAATTCCTTATTCCCTTTAGTGACTTCTGGTTTTGTGGTTGCTCCAAGTGAATGATTTAGAGAGGGTATGTGGAAAATGTCCACAGAGCTTCTTGGCAGAAAAGATGTGTTCAGGAAGCACAGCCAGGAGCCTCAGCAGAGCCCATGGGTGGTGCAACTGAAATGCCTGTTCCTTCTGCTTGGAAATATTCATAATCAAAATAGCTTTTTGATTGGAAATTGTTTTACTTTGGATGAGAACAAAAGCTGTGAAGCAGCACTTGATTCTTAGAAGACACATTTTTTTTGGCTAATTCTTCTCCCACTTATGGCTCTTGAAACATTCAGGAGAAATAGTTGATTATTTAAAAGCTCTGCAATTTGTAGCTGCTGTAGAGGGAAAAAAAAAAAAAAAGAAAGACACTTTTGGATTTATGTATGGCATTTCAGTAAGATAAACAACTTTTTCATCACAGTGGATATCTATGTCATACCAAGCTGGCTTTCCATGACAACGGGCTGCTGTTCTTCCTGCCCAACCTGCTGGAACACCTCCAGGGCTTGCATTCAGGGCCACCACTGAAATGCCTAGAGTGAGTTTATTTCTTCCTGATTGAAACAGAGCCATTAAAAGTAAATATAAAATAACAAATTGAAAGAGAATACCTGCAGGTTTCTAGGCTTGTATTCAGGAAATATTTCATTAGGAAACTCATGGAAAGGTAAAAAACAGCTATTTAAATTTTAACTTTTGAAAATGTAGTATTTTTTGTACATTGAAAATATCAGTATTTACAATGAAGGAGCAAACCTAATTTTCTGTTTAGTTTTGAACTGTACTGATGGAGACATACGAGACAGAGCACTGAAGCATTTGCATTTCTCCTACTTGATCCCTGTGTCCTCAGTCAAACCCAGTGCAGCAGGGACTGCCTTTCTCACTGCAGTGAATGTGGGACCATCAGTTCTGGAGGGATTATTTTTAGAATATATCCTTTTATAACAACCTTAGTAATACTAGAGAGCAGGGAATTTGAAATGCCATAGTTGCACATGACTTAACTCGCAGCAATTGTACTTACCAGCTTCTACTGGAACAGCTTTCAGTTTTCAAAGAAAATGGTAGCCAGTTACGATGGATTTTCTTTTGAAATCTTTGCACAGACACAGAGCATGAGATTTTTTCACTGGTATGAGGAGTTTCTAGACCCTGCAGCGTTCTTCAAAAATCATGTGGCAGAGAAAATATGTCCCGATATACTCTGCTCAATTCCTTGTAACACAGTTCAAGCTGGAAACTAATTTGCTGATGAACTCTAATCCCCATTGTAAAGTATGGTAGCTGTGGAGTAAACTAAAATCACAGCTTTACTTTCAAACCTCAGTGCAGCCTAATCTGTTGAAACAGTGGAAACACTCACTTGTCAGCTGCTTCTTAAAACTCAAGAAACTGTTCAAGATGAAAAGCTGTGTTGAGTGTTTTGGAGGGCATTGTGATTTTTTTTTTTAAAAAAAACTTGCTATAACACAGTGGATGTTTCATTATGAATTTGATACAAATTTATACAATAAATATTTTTAAGCATTCTGCAAATAAAAAGCAACATGTGGCAAGATGAGATAAATATCACAAAATTATTTCCATGTGCTGTGCAGTAATATTACTGTACAAATGATGGTTAGGAATTGAAATTAAGTTCATGTGAGTTAAAAATCACTGAGCATTTGGCTTCCATATTTTGGGAGTATTTTTAATAATCAAGAAGAGTATAAATGAGATGACATCACTAACAACTAAAATACAGATCCTTGAAACATTTATGGCATACCAGCTGTCCAAGAAGCATCATCATCATCATCTTCTGACAAATGATATCCTCTGAGGCTTGATGTACAGCACTCAGATATGCTATTTCAAACACTTTGCTGACTGAATGATACATTTGAAAGATATTTGAAAGTTGTCTTTCTAGGGCCAGGCAAATGCAAGTCTTTCCAACCTGAAGAGATATATAAGCATCTAAGAAATGTGCAGCTCCCTCAGCAAAGGGACAGTAGATTTACCCGTTTTACATTTTGTTTGTTACCTTATTTTATATCACCTCACATCGACTTGTTTTAACATTCTTTTAAGGAACTCATATTCCTTTTAGAAGATTAATGCTTGTACCCCTTAGTATTCTTGAGAAAATAAACATCAGATATAGCAAGATGGATTAATTTTTCATTTCACTGCTTACTGCTTTCCTTTCAGCTTCTTGCCTGATTACATCAGTGGTGATTTTGATTCCATTCAGCCTGAAGTCAAGGAGTACTACAAGGCCAAGGTAAATTAAATCCCTTTGAGTTTTTGTGTGATAGAGCATTGTAAGATCCAAGCCATTAGTGCTGCCATAGGTCACAAAGTGATTCTGGTTCCATTGCTTCCTTTGAGGCTTCAGTTGTAAACACCTGAGAAGCTCAGAAGTTGTGCTTTGTGGCACTGTACTAATGCTTAAAGCAAACACAGGAGGTGTGGTACTGCCCGAATCCTGCACAAGGTGAGTTTTCATAGTATCAGGTGATGAAATAGATCGTACGTTGCTAGAGATTACAGCACCTAGAAACTAGGATAAAACTTCCTGAAAAACCTGTGAATCTGAAAAATCTTCTTTTGCATGGTGAGATACAGAGAAATAAAGATTAACTTACCATGATTCCCACCTGGTGGGTACCTACATACTTTCTATAGCTTCTCAGTGTGCTATTTGTAGGATATGACTTTACCTTTTTAGGGGAAAGCTGCAGATGGAGAAATGTCTCTTTCCTCACCCATGGAAGCATTGAATTACAGTCAACAACTTTTGCCACACTGGTGGAGTGCCCTCCTTAATGAGTTATTGGATAAATTGCTGCCTGCGTTATCTGCAGTGAGCAGCATAAATGTAAACTCACTTTTTCTCAGGTCTTAGGGCTCAAAGTTCTGCCTTTACCTGACTCTTTGGTATTTAATACTTCACCTGCCTACTTGTGACGAGCGCAGTTCTTTTCCCTGGCATCTTGGACAGCAGGCAAATTCAGAGTTTGCCTTGACAGACCAGCTTACCTTTGCAGCAGGCTGCTCTTGCAAGAGGAGTAAGTGTTTAATCCTTCTGAGGTAGTTGACTTAGTCTGCTGCTAATTCATGTATAAAAATAAAATTTGCTTAAAATCTTCCCTGTTGGACTTGGGATTAAATGGTTAGAACAAAAGGTTTCAAACTGTGAGGGAAGGGCTGGATGAGTGTGTAGAGCAGGATTTTAGTCTCACACTGGGCACTATGGGGTTTTATTTCCATATTCTACCTCATTTTTTAGAATGGAGAAATGTGTGATGGTTGTTTATCTCTAGGAGAACCACTCGAGAAAAAATCTCAGGAATCTTTAAATTAAAGTTTGGGAAGTGAAAATAAAATAAAAATAAAAATTTCAGATTAATACTATTCACTACAGACTGAAAATTCATGATCTGTGAATAAATTAATTCAATAAGTATTTGGGCAACAGTCTTGGGTACTTGGTGTGATTCTTGGGGATGATGCTGTGCTGGGAGTTGGACTTACTGGTCCTTGCAGTTCCCTTCCGACTCAGCTTCTTGTGTGATTCTGTGAGTCTGTAAAAGGGGAAACTGCAAAATGCACTACTCTGTTTGACATGGACATGGGCAACCCCCAGTAGTGACACAGGCTGGGGGATGAACAGATGGAGAGCAGCCTTGGGGAGAAGGACCTGGGGGTGCTGGTGTTTGGGAGGCTGGACATGACCCAGCCATGGGCACTCCCAGCCCAGAGAGACAAACGTGTCCTGGGCTGCATCCAGAGCAGCAGGGCCAGGGAGGGGATTCTGCTCCTCTGCTCTGCTCTGCTCTGCTGGGACCCCACCTGCATCAGCTCTGGAGTCTCCAAGATGGACCTGCTGGAGTGAGCCCAGAGAAGGACTCCAAGATGATTAGTGGGGTGAAGGGATCAGGAGATGAGGCAAGGCTGAGAGAATTGGGGTGGTTCAACCTGGAAGATAGAAGGTTTTGGAATGACTTAATTGCAACTTTTCAGTACCTGAAGGGAGCCTAAAAGAAAGATGGAAACTTTTTACAAGATTATATGGTGACAGGACTAGTGGGAATGGCTTCAAATTGATAGTAGGTTTAGATTAGATATTAGGAAAAACTTCTTTACTCTCAGGGTGGTGAGACACTGGAACAGGTTGCCCAGAGAAGCTGTGGTTGGCCCACCCTGGCAGTGTTTATGCCAGGTTGGATGGGGCTCTGAGAAACCTGGTGTAGTGGGAGGTGTCCCTGCCCATGGCAGGGGATTTGGAACTTGATTTTTTTAGGGTTTCTTCCAACCTGAACCATTCTATGATTCTCCAATTAATGCTTAAATGAACAGCATGCTGGTAGGTAGGTGAGTCCTACCAAAGAATGCAAAAGTTAATGATCATTCAACAGAGAGAGGGGACATGGAAGAGGTAGGAGGTGGAAGAATAGAGTAGTTATTAACCTTTTGCACAGGGACTACTTTCCTGGCCATAGCATCCTTTTTGTCAGCTCAGTTGCATATTACTGGTGATGTGCAGTTAACATCTTCTCTTCGAACACATGCTGAATCATTCTACTTCACACAGAGTTAATACATCTGCACAAGGGCTGAGCTGATAGGAAGAAGTAATTCATCAGGATTTTAAAGGTGTAATGAACAGCATCACCTGCCCTACAGAATCCTTGCCTGGGGTCTTCATAGAAGACTAAGGAAAATGAAGATAGACTATGGAATTATAAGTTTGGGTGTACATGGTAGGAAAAATAATTTTTTAGATTTTTAAATTAACTTGCCATAATCAGAAAATTTGAATGGTAAGTATGGGTGTCTAAGGAAATCTTGAGCAAAAAATATAATAAAACACAGAAATTTGAGACAGGCGTATATTTCTTCTCTTGTAAAGCATATTGTTCATTAAAGCACCCTCTGTAGTCCAGACAATTTCCAAAGTCACTGTCTTTTGGAGATGCTGTATATATTCATGACTCAAAATACATTAGGACTGCTTAAAACAGGCTGTGGAGAACTTCAGGTGAGTAGATCAGTGTAGCACCACTGACTTTAGGGAAGCATCATGTTGCCAATTAGGGTTGCTTCCCCTACCATCCTTCCTTACCCACATGCAGATTACACCCAGAGACAAGATAAGCCACTATCACTAGATAATATTGCTGTGTTGTTTGTATTGAAATACATAAAGATTGTAACATTAGGATTTTAGAGATCTCTTTCCTTGGTTAACAATCATGTTTGAGTACCTGGTTTTTGGCCAGACTTGTGCTTTGGCTGGCTCGTGAGCTGCCACACAACAGAACCAATATCTTATAAATCCCACAGGACACTTAGGCTGAACTTGAGTTTGCAGCAACATCTAAAGGCAAAAGTTGTTTTGGAAAGTAACTGTGTAACAGACTTCTGAGTGGGATGTGTAAGTGAGGAGTTAAGCATTCTTTTTGGGAGAGAATAAGTAAGCATGTGTCAGAGGTTATTCAGCTTTTTATTTTTTGTGGTCTTGGTTTTGCCTCATTGGATTGTCAAGGATGTACTTGTAGTCTTCTATTAAAATTTATTAAAATATTAGAGATTATTTCCCCCATTTCTTAGAGTTAAATAATGTTCAAACTGAATAAAACTGCAACACAACTGAAAATGAAATGTCATGTTTAAAATTTCTTTTTAAAATTATATTGCACTATAAATTAAGGATAAAGAATAGCAATTTGGTATTCATTATTCTGTGTATTTTCTGTCATTGTTAAAGTAGAAATTGAGAAGAGGTTTTTTACTTTCATGATAAATATGCATGTTCATGTGATCCCATAATAGATGCACTGGCATTCTTTCTCTGTACAGTCTGAAGTGCATTGGAAATGACACTGCACAAAGCAGGGAGGATTTGTGGTGATATTTCTGTCATTGCAGTTTCATGCTTTTCTTGTTTTGGCTGTATGTTTCTATTATTGAAACCTTTTAAATATTGCTCTGAAGTCTAAGCAGCCATTTGTATTGTTGTGCCTTAAACAAGGTTCTGTTTCTGAAGTCTAAAGTCCAAAGACATTATCTAAAATTATGCCAAATCTGTACTTATGCCTGGAAGCAGAAGGTTGAATCCAATGCCCTTTGAAATCCAGGCTATGCTTTTTATTAAAAATCTGGTTTGGCTTTCCCGCCAAGCAAACTTCATGGGCCTTGAAAGGCTGCTGTAGACTTAGCAGGCTCTACTTCAGATCTGTAATTAAATGCTGTGAACTTATTTACAAATCCACTTCTTCTCCTGTTCTTTTTTCTTCTTGAAATCCTGTAGGGCTGCTTATTTTTGCAGGCAGTTCTGCAGCTGTAGCACTTTCCTATTTTCATTTCCATGGCTAATGGTTATCAGGGCTGTAAAAAGGTTTAATAGATAGGGTGTGGGTATTGTATTTTTGTTCTATGATGATGCACCTATAATTAGATTTGCAAAATATATTGGTAACACTGATGTAGTGCTTTTATGTCTCCCTAACGCCTGCACTTTCTGGATAAACTGCATGTTTTAGGCCATGTTCCCTGCTTGCTTTCCAAGGCCAAACTTTTTAATAATTTTATTAATTCATAGCATTAATTGATTTGCCTCAGTTATATTACTATAATTTAAAACAAAGAAAACCATTAAGTTTTTATGTGACTATTTTAATTTATCTTTTATCCCTGAATGTTACATTTTTTTCTAGTACTAATTTTTAATACAGGATCAGACTTCAGATATTAAAATGCTTGACTCATTTACAACATTCTTGTTAGACTGAACAGTTTTCTAAGAAAAACATGGTTCATTTTAGGGCCTGATTCCTTTGTGTAATGTTTTAAAGTTTCAGAAGGAACTCTCAAAATTGTGCAAGTGGATCTGAAATATTCAGTCTTGCTGTTGGGCTGGCTACTTCTGTTTGACATTCACTTCTTCAGCTTCCAAGCAATCCCTTGTTTAATACATTCTGCTGACGACATCTTTGACAAGTATAAAAAGTGCTATGACTACCTCAGCTCTGCTTCTGATGTGTTGAGGGTGCCTAATGCCACCTGGATTTAGATCCAAGTTGTAGTGTTTTTCTACTGATGTACACTTATTGGAAGAGCCTTAGTGCCTTAATGCAAATAGAGATTCATCAAGCCAAAACAATTTACAAATCTGTTATGGTCCTGCTATTAATAGTTCAAACTGTATATGACTGTATATGCAATTTAGGATTTTAGACTGGAAGCTTTCTATATGCCTTAGTCATGTAATTATTCAAC